AGCATTCAGTGTAGACAAAACATCATCAACAGAACAAGATAATCAGGAACAGCCAGCATTGATTCTCCAAGAGAAAGTCATGCCTGACCAACTTGATTTCTATCCAAGAAGCGGTAACAGGCTCTGTGGAAGGTGGTGGAGAGAACTGGATGTGAGATACCTCAGTTTTAACAAGGCTTTTGGAAATGCAGGGCTAAGGAAATGCAGGCTTAAGTACTCCAAGGTGGATAACATAACTGGTTGGATCATTGCTCACCAGCGAGTCAGTGGCTCAATATTTTGTTGGGAGGAGGTATCGAGTGGGGTTCCCCAGGAATCTGTCCTGGGTCCAGTATTGTTTAATATCTTCATGAATGATTTGAACAATGGAACTGATGGCATGCTTAGCAATTTGTGGATGATCCCAAGATGGGTGGAGTTGCAGACACTCTGGAGCAGTGGTTCTCAACCTTTTTGTACTTGAAGCACCTTCCCTGCAGTTGGGATACCCCTCCCTATCATGTGAATTGGGTGGCACCCAATTTCAAAGACTAATTTCTATATTACAGTGCTTATCTCCTTACAGAGGGGCTGAACAGCAGGGGTAGGAGATCATTTGGGCAGGGGCAAACCTGAGCCTGGCTTATCTGATTATCTCCTCACATTATGTGGCAGTTTTCAAAGAATCTGTTAGTACCCTAGCATGCCCTAACACCCTGCTTGAGAATCACTGCTCAAGAGGGTAGCACTAGGATCCAGAATGACATGGACAGACTGGAAAAAAAAGTCTCAAATCAACCTAGTGAAATTCAAAAAGGACAAGTACAGAGTCCTGCGCTTGGGATGGAATAACTGTATGTGTAAATACAGATGGAGTACTGATTGGCTAGGCTTCAGTACTGCAAAGAAGTGTCTGGGGTTTCAGTGTACCATAAGCTTAATGAGCCAACAGTATGCTGGATTGTATTAACAGGAGTGTCTCTTGAAAATCAAGGGAAGCATATTCTTCTGCTCTTTGGCATAGGTGAGACCTAAACTGGAGCACTGTGTCCAGTTTGTAGCCCCACACTTTAAGAAGGATGTGGACAGACTGGAGAAAAAAAAAGGAAGAATCCAGCACACAGCAATAAAAAGATTGGAGAGGCCTGGGAAACATGATATATGAGGAAACAAATTTGTGCTTGCAAAGCTACCCTGAGTGTCTGCAGTACTTCTGGCACTAAGGATGTGTGTGTAGTTTTTTTTCCCCATGGAAGGGCAAGATCCGTTACAGTAGGTAAGACCAGCTGTTACTTACTGTAGTAACTGCAAGTTAGAGTTTGGATCCATCAATCCCTGGCATAGCTGTTTTATTGCTACATCTCCCAGTTTATTGTTACTTATGTCCAGTTTCTTCAGGGTGGCCTTGCTCAGAATGGATGTAAGCATCTCAGCATTATCCCCTCTGAGCTCACAAGACCTCATCCTGCAAAAAGAAAAGCAGGTTTTCTCCACACTGACCTTGCCATGTGTAAATCTTGTCTGGCCAGGAACAGAGAGCCCTGTTTGACCTTCACTCTGCGATATGCAAACCGGCTAATATATAGGTCAAAATACTCATGAATATATTCCATAGCAACACCCCCCAACTCCTCAACCATTGACTTTATATGGTAATTTTGGTGAATTTCCAAGGGGGGGGGGGGGGGGGCCCCCGGGGTATTTCAAAGGGGGGGGGGGGGGGGTGTCTCCTCAGAGGTTGGTTTGAGGCATTCACAACAGTAGTTATTTGCTCTCTAGTATATATGGCTGCTTACAGATATGGGGAAACATGCCCAGAAGAGAAATGGCATCAGTTTGATATGGCTTGCCCTGTGCCTGTATAGCTCATGTGTTCCTGCAGGGCTTTTTGGCACATTTAACTAATAGCTGATTCAATCAGCTAATAGATAAAAGTGCCAAAAAGCCCATTTGAACTGCACGAGTTATACAGACCGGGTCAAACTGACACAATTCCTTTTCTGGTAAAGTGCTGGGGTTTTTTCCCCACATGTCTGTCAGCATCGTTTGAAAACATTCACAAGATTGTACACTGGTTTGCTTAGGCGCTCTGTATATTTCTGCAGTTGCAAGAAAACATTCTGCCACCACTCACCAAGCCCTTCTGAAGGGAATTACTTCTCCTGTTTGATATCTTCAAACTAAAAGCAGGACAGAGCCACACCCACAAAGAGATCAGTCCTTGTGGCAATGGTCTGCACTATCTATTATTGACCACCGCTTGTTTGCTTGTTTATATCTTTTCCTTCTAAGCGCCAAATCAATTCCAGATTCAATTGGACAAAAGCCCAGTAGTCAAGCTCCAAATTCAACTGAGCAGAGCTCCGTCACTCAATTCTGTATGGCTCTACCACTGGTGGAGTCTCCCCTCTCCCACACCCATAGGTGTGGGGCTTTGGGTACACCCCAAATCCATGGCAGGCATCCTATGTGCAAGCCCAGGCTGGGGGACCTTGGAGTTCAGATGCCCCTTTTAGTCTTGCTTGCTTCTAGCAAAAGGCTGAGGTCAACAGTCTGTTTCTTGCCCTTATCACCTCCTGCAATTTCCGGTGTTTGGTCATGATTGCTGGGGCCTCATTGCAGTCAGTGTTTTTTCCGGAAACATCCTAGGACCTTGTAGAACCACGGCTGCTCCATGGTCTCCAATTGGGCAGCATGTACATCCACCAGTATCACAGCAGGTGGATGTAAGTACCTTACGAAGCAGGCTGTTTTGGACTCTGGTGCAGTTGCCAGTTTGCAGATCAGGTTGTGTACTTGGCCCAGAGGAACAACAGGACATCTGGCATTGCTTGGCCGCCAGTCTATTCTGCAGTGTACAGGGTTTTCCTCGCTGCCTTCTCCCATCTGGAGCCCCAGAAGAAGATACATACAGCCCTTTGGATTTTATGGGCTATCTGCTTCAAGCAGGGGGAAGATGAGCGCAATGTAGCAGAAACACTGGTAGCGACACTGCCCTTGTGAGTGCCACGCACCTGCCCATGGGAGGCCAGCCTGTAGCTAATCCCAGTACTGCAGTAGAGACCCACAGCTGTCACTGGGAATCAGCAAACAAAATGCACCTGCCGGAAAGGCATGGGAGGAGAGCAGCAGTTCGTTACTTACACGAGACTCTGTACCTTGCAGTTGGCATCCAGCAACCCTTGGCAGAGCACTTTTCCTCCTGAGGTTTCTAGCTTGTTCCTGCTTAGGTGCAGGTCTGTCAGAGATGGTTTTGTGCTGAGAACAGAGCGGAGACTCTCACAGCAGGCACCTGTTAGGTTGCAGTTTTCCAGCCTGAAAGAAGAAACCAGGGTAAGAAGAAGGCATGCCAATAATTCATACCATTTCCCAAGGGCAGAGTCACCACAGGTTTGGTACAACACCACAGTACCAACAACAGGGAAATACACCCAGGCTGCCAGATATATTATCAACACAAAGACTGTGTACCAGGTTAAATGCCATGGCAGGATGACAGCTGGTAAATCTGGGCCTGTTCAAGATATTTTATCAGCTGATTTTATAGCTGCAGTATGAAAACCCCGTGTTCCTTTACCAGCAGCTCCTTGTGCAATGCCCAAGAACCTCTTCCACCAATAGCATTAAGAATGACATAGTTGCCATCTAATAATGCAGAACAGTTTTTGTTCACTAGTACTTGCTAGTGTAAGAAGCCATTTTCAGATGGAGATCTCCTTTGTGTGTTCTCTTCCCTTGATGCCTTGGAACAAAGGTCCAGGGAATGCCTTGTGGGCAATATGGTGCCTGCAACCACAGGAAAGTAACAGCTGAAACAAGGGCTGACAGGGAGGGGAACATACTGTATTTTCTCACATACAACACATACCTTTTTTCTAAAAAACATGTGGAGCACACATTAGATTTGAGAAAATATAGTAACAGCCTTTTCTGTCACTTCAGCTGGGCAAAAGCCCAAGTAAACTATACATATGATCCACAGGGAGCAGAACAATGAGTGCTCCCTACCTTTTACTACTAAGTCATGACAAGGAACAATCTTGGTTTATTTGTTTTTGAAAGGGAGAATGTAGGAAAAGGTCTTATTCTGGGACATGTTTGATGAGAGAAAATATGGCATATTGCTGACCACGGTATGTTCCATGCTTAACACTTGCCACCATCTGTGGCCGTTTTCTGGCAGGAATGTCATTTACATGCCGGACTCTAGGGGCAGTAGCTGCAGCTTTCCAGAGCCAGTAAAAAAACTAGACTTGGTTGGACTTGCTGGAGTCTAAGACAACAGAACAGACTCACAACTAAGTGCGTAGCTATTAAAGTTCTCTGAAGTGTGCAGAAGACAGGATTTGCAAGGTGTCAACAACATTACAAGCAGCTGTAGCTGAATGGTGCTGTTCACTGTCCCACGTCTTGCTTGAGCTGATCTGGCCACATAATCTAATCGCACACAGCTGGGGAGTCAGCTCTTACCCTTAAATGGGTCTTTGTAAGGACCAGCACAGTCCAGGGACCAGATGTTGTCGCCATTAGTCAGTGACCATTTGAAGTTAACGGTGAATGAAATCAACTTCATGCCACTGGACGTGGTGACAACTAGGGAAGGACTCCTGAGGTTTCCCCCAAAAGGTTGACAGAGAACAGTGTGCTGGGGCACACAGGCAGAGTCCACTCAGTTCAGTGGAGCTGCAATGCTCTACCTGAGCAGAGATGAGGTTTCACCCCCACCCTCACAAAGTCTTGATGAAGACGGAGACAGGAGCTCTGGTGCAGAGCAGGCAGAGGAGCCTTACCATAGCAACTCCAAGTTACAGCTTGGTGTCAGAAGTCCTTTACACAGTACTTCCACACCCTCATCCTTGAGCTCATTATGATCCAACTTCAGCTCTTTCAGGGACTGGTTTGTACTGAGGACAGAGCAAAGATCTTCACAATGACTCCTGGAGAGCTTGCAGTAATCCAGCCTGTGGGAGAGAGATGTCATTAAACCCTGTCACCTGTTCTTATCCAGCCAATGCAAAAAAAAACCCCAAAGTCTATTTCTGTTCTCTACTGAGGAAGTTTTATGCCTTAGTCCAGTTCCTGGAGTGACTTGCTACCAAGAGCCAGGCAGCACCTTATGCATATCTACAGCCCAGAGCACAAACCAGAATACCTGCCTTGGCAAGGGTGCTTCTAGAACAGGGGTGGGCAAAGTATGGCCCACGGGCTAGATCAGACCCACGGGAGACGCCATTTGTCAGCAGCGCCTACCTACGTTGCTGTGGCTGGTTTCCATGGAAACCTCAGGAGTGATGGGCCGTGACAGAGCGGGGCCAGGGTTGCCATGAAGACCGTCCCCAGAAGCACTGGCAGGGCATGCAGCTTGACAGGGCGCTGCTCCAGGGGCTGGGACCTTGCAGCGGTGACAGTGCAGTCCAGAGCCAGGGCAGAGCTGAGATCTACTGTTCATTCCCTGGGCAGGGGCACGCAGGTAGTGGATCATAGCTCTGACCCAGCTCTGGACCACACTGTCGCGGCTGCAAGGTCCCAACCCTGGCCCCTGAGCAGTCTGGGAAACGGAGTCCAGCCACCAGCCGGATCCGCCTTTTTGCCCACCCCAGTTCTAGGACAACCGAGACTCCACCTGCATTGTGGCTGTCCCAGAGACAGTTTGCCTAGGACTCCACTGTCCTGCTCTGAAGAAGGAGCATGACCCCAAACCCCTCCAGCCAACAGGGAAACACAAGTAATCTTTAGCTACACTTCCCTTTCATGTCTCCTGTTACTGGACAAACTCAGTAGCTGGAGTCTGGTTCTGGATTGGCCACCAAGAGCTCCGAGAACAACATACAGCCTGTTAGACTCATCTACAGGAACTGACCAGATCTGTGCCTTATTGGGTTTCTTGACCTGAAGAGGCTGTGAGGAAAGCTGCTCTGACAAATACCAAAGGCTGGGAGCAAACAACCAGTCACTACAGGGCAAAGTCCTGTTAGAATGGGACAAGTTTTTTGTATGCCCAAAGGTCCCTGCTTTGGCTCTTCCACAGCTCTGAGATGAGCTGGGGTCTTTGCCTGCCTCATCCCTCCAAGGTCACATGGAAGACCTGGAGAGGAGGCACCAGCTGGACCCCAACTTTCCCAGACTCAAGGGCTCCTCAGCATACTTGTGGGTTCAGGAAAAATGCAGCAGGAAGGAGGGCCCAAATTGAGCCCCATTTCATTCTTAACCTCCACTAAAACCCTTCCTGCTTGAACTGCTTCTGCAGCTGCTCCTGTCTCCTACTTCTGCAGGACACCAGTCTCCTGCTGGTATTAAACTCTGAGCACTGGCACGTGGCCCTGATTCTCTAGAGATTGCCCAGGGGGGGATGCAGACAATCTGAACCAGTCCATATAGCTTAGCTACGTATGGCCCATGCAATCCTTCTTACCCAACTCCAGACCTGCAGCAAGGTCAGCTGCAACATGCCTGCTTGCCCTCCTCATGGCTGTCAACCCCCTCCACAGCAGCCTACTGCTCATTCTGCTCAACCTGAGATGGTTAAGCCAGGTACGTGGACCCACAGCAGAAGGACCAGCAGCAGCAGTGTGGAACCAGCTCTTTCCAGCAGCCTCAACCTGCCCCATAGTACACTCTCTAGTTCACCTGCTCAAGACACAGATCAGATCCAGCAGAAGACTGCTAGAGTAGCAAGGGTTAAAATGGATAGCATACAAACTTTCCTTATGTTCAAGTGCTTGTCAGATTACAAAGTTCACCCTTGCCCAGCCTGAATTTCTGCCCTGCATTCCCAGAAAATACAGCTATGACTGAAGACGTTGCCATGTGATGGACAGAAAGAAAACAGACCCCTTCCCTATGCTTCATAAGGAACTTACAGGAAGAAAGAAAGAATAGGAGTGGTGGTTAGAATATTCTGCATAGCCACCGTCAGCTGGGGCATCACTAGCTTGTTAGAGTGGCCCCAAAACCCAGGAACTACATCTGTACCCTACACGTACCAAACTGAGACCAGGAAAGGAGAAAGTTTCTCTGGATAAAGGAGCAGGTTACCACCCCCAGCAAATTCTTGAATTTCCAACCAGAATAAACAAAATCCTTCTAACCCTCCAGAAGTTCCTAAGTCAGACCTGCAAACAAAGCCTGTCCTGCAGGAAGGCTGCAGCTGAGTCTTGTTACATGCTGTCTTTCAGCAATATTTTTCCTTCTCCCTTTCAAAAACACTTCAGCTTCATTTCTCTAGAAGGGACTAAACCAGTGCTTTTCAACCAGTGTAGTGTGACACACCAGTGTGCCACAAAGAGCCCCCTGGTGTGCCGCAAGAATTTTGGAATGAGAAGAAAGTTCTCCAGCCGCCTAGTGCTAACCAACAAGCCGTGTCGATGAGATATTCACAAAAGACTCACATGTGTTGGCTGTGGGGGAGAGAGAACCAGCCGAGCAGAAAGACATTCACCTACTTCACGTGTGTTGTTGTGGGGGCTACACAGTTAGCAATCCTCTGAACAGCTGTGCCATGGAATTTTGCTGCAGCATTGAGCTACAATGAGCTCGTAAGTATGGGGATGGGGAATGCTTTAACAGGTGTGCCACGGAAAATGTTTATTAATGTAAATATGCCCTGGGCTGCAGAAGGTTGGGAAACTGGACTAGACAATACCAGGCACTACCTGATGGCTTTGCAGTCTTTCATGGAAGAAACAAGCTCGGTCCATCTGGACCCACTCAACTCCTGGCACTCGATGTCTATGTCCATTTTGAATGGTGATGTGGGACCTGAAGACTTAAGGAGGGGCCAGATATCTCTCTGTGGAAAACCAGAACAAACAAAACGTTACTCTCCAAGCCCTCCAGTCCTGCTCATTCTGCTGCATGTATGAACCCTTAAGCATCAGGATTATTCAATTCACTGTTTTAAAGAGGCCTTGGTTGAACAGTTACATTCAATAAAGGGTCATCAGGACTGGAAGTGTCCCTTTAAACAGAACCATAATCAGACTCCCACTAATTAACCTGGCAGCAGTTGTGGCATTTGGGCCAGTCCTGAGCTGCCATCAAAGGCAATGATGTACTTGTCAGACACTATATAGCCTTTCCCCAACTTCTACTTCTCAAAATCTCTCCCTGTACTTATGGAACGCAGCCATGCCATGGTGCTTCAGAGGGGAGGCATTTGAACGATTTGTATCAATCAGGATTTGGTAACATGGACAGAGCAGACACACCAATGGCAGTGTGCCTCTGGGAAAAGTTCTCAACAATTTTTGTATTTGGCCTTTAAGAAATCAGGCCCAGATGGTTGATTTGAGCTACAAGTACCAGAAACAGAAGGTTGTATTTTACAGTCCAAATACAATCCCAAATCAGGATTTATGTCTAATACAGGAGTATCACAGGTCACAGTGTTACCATAGCAAGTGCACACATTGTGTGAAAATAGATGTAAATATGCCAAGGCATCTAGTTATGCCCTAGGATATAAATCTTACCATTCCTCAGCTTACAAGTGCCAAGTACCCAGTGTAGGGGAGTAGAGAAATGTCACGTGAGTGAAAGCGCTACTGTCATAGCATTTTGGGAGCATGTTAGACTTAGTTAAGACAGTTGCCATTGGCTATACAGGAAGCAGAAGAGAATCTAACTCACAAAGGGCTCCTATACACATGCATTGAGGCTGCTGGAGCATGGTAATTACATTGCTCCAGCAAACTGCTGCGTCCCATGTATCAGCATGTCCGTGTTGAAAAACGGTGGCAGTGGCACTTTAACTAAAGCTCATTGGACAAGCTTTAGTTAAAGCACCCCCACCGCCATTTTTCAGTGTGGGAATGCTGATACACATGATGCTCTGGGTGCTTTAATTAAAGCAGCTCTCAGAGTTGCCTTTAATTAAAGTGGGCCCCACCCCGCCTCCTGGAACATATGTATAAACATCCAAAAGCCATGTCCAGACTAGGAAAGCCTTTTGTTAAAAGGCAAAAAGACGGTAATCAACCATGATTTGAAAAAGACAATTCTCCTGTATCTCCACATGCAAAAGCTGTACCTTTGAGACAGAATTACCAGGTTTTTGGTTCCTTACAGGGACCATTAAATAGATAGCAATGAACTAGCAGGATTCTGAAGTCAGGCTAACTACTCACAGTCCAGCTAGAGTTTTTAAGGAGCACCTCCCAAAGGGTAATTTAGTGCTCTCCTCTCCCCCGCTTTTAGCAGGTAACAGTTCTAAGGCCACAGCCACAAGGATTTCTATGGCACAGCTAATTAAGAAACAAACCAAGTGAGACCTCAGAAGGGGCAGTCCCAGCGGGGTCATAGCATTTGCCAGAATTGACAATGAAGAGCAACCGTCTCATCCCTCCCTGGAAAACATAGATGTTGAACCCAACTTCCAGAGGTCCCGAGCAACTATAGCTCCCCTGATTTCAGCTGGGGAGGAGGTGCCCGGTCCCTCCGAAAGCCACACCCTAGAGATCATTGACCCCATTTCCCAGGATCTGTTGCCCCCCAGGAGCCTGCTTCTTGTCATTCTCAGTATGTTGGCTCCCACAGGGGAGACTAGAGCTGAAATGAGAGGTGCAAAATCAGAGGCCATTCTTTGCTGTTAATAGGCAGGGAATTACCTCTGTTTGTTTTCTCTGCCTCTCCTTGATTAGGCTGAGGGCCAGAGGGGAAGGTCTAGTAGTGTAAGCCTCACCCCTGAAATGCCCTAGTGACTAAGCAGCCATGTCTCCTCAATGGTGTTAAAGGCACTGCAGGCAGATGGAGCAATTAGGTCTTCAAGCATTGCTCTGCCTGCTCTCCCAAGAGCTTCCTGTACCGCTCCCCAGATAAAGCCACTGTGCTTTTACCTCTCCTTAGAGAGGGTCAAGGCAACTGCTGGAACATCTGAAGCAATCTCCTGGCCTTGTGACTGCTGTGCCTTAGCCCTGCCAAGTCACCAGCTCAGGCTTTCCCCACCTTCAATGACCTTCCCCATCACACCCCCACTTTACCTGCCTTTCCCTTTGAACTCTGTTGCTCTCCCTTTGTGGTCCCAGGCTTGGTGGTTTAATGAACTCCCGGCTGGATGTTTCTGACCAGCTCCCCCTGCACTGCTTGCAGCAGATGGATGCAAGATACCAGGCACTGCCTGAGCCATGGGGACAGGCCCCACCCCAGACTGCTTTGGGAGGCCTCACGAACTGGGGCTCCATCTCCTTCTCCCCTTGTCACCCTTTCCCTGGCTTCCCTGTCCTGTGTCTGATCTGTAGCAGCATTTCTCCTCTGCTCCTTCTCCATCTGTGTTTGCGCCAGAGCGAAAAGAAACAACTCCCAAATGCCACAGTGAGAAATGGCATGAACGCAACTGGATTTCAGCCTGCTACACACAGGGCCTGTCTGCATGCGCACAAATGTGCCTTTCCTAATGTGCATTACATTTAATACTAAGAATAAAAGTCGTGAGGCACGAAATTGGCTGTGCTAATGCCCAGTAGCACATTCACGCGCTCTTTGTGTGATGCCACATGCACAGCAGACTACTTTACTGTGCATGTGAGGCTTTAATGGGCACTCAAATAGTCTACTGCGTATTCAAGCCCACACGTACAGGAAGGGAGAGGTCAGCCTCCGCTCTCCACAGCTGCAGGACTTCACGGGTGCTCAGGCCTAACAGGGCCCTGGCTGGGCCTGAAATAAGAGGAAAACCAAAACCAGAATGCAGTCCCAGCCCAGCAGCGACCCCGAGGAAAACCCCGGGGCGATGCCAGGGCAGGGGCTGCCCCCAGACGCACCGAGGACAGCGAGCCGGGGATAGCGCCCCGCTGCAGCCCCACCGAGCTCGGCCCCGCCTGCCGCGGCCGCATCGCACCTGCCCCCGCACCGGGGGACTCGGACCCGCTCCCTGCTCCCCGCCCGCGGGACGCAGCCAGAGGAAGTGATTTGCATAGTTCCGCCCCCTGTGGGCGGGGCCTCGCAGGGAACATGATGCAACGCACTTGGCCTCGCGCGGAGCTGCCGCGCGGGGGGGGGGTCTTAAAGGCGCAGGCGCAGAGCGGTCCAGGGCTATCGCAGCTCAGGACGAGGCGCCGGCGGGGACCGGGCTGGAGCAGGGCAGACCCAGTGCGCGGTGCAGATGTATTTATTCATAGATACCCATGTATGACAGCACCTCCGACAGCACCAACTTCTCCTGTGACCGCTCTGGCTCGCTGGAGAGTCCAAAACACTTGTACAGTTACACCCTTCGTACTCCACGCATCTGTCACAGCCACAATCACCTCGGTCCCTTCCCTTCCTCTTCCCCTTCCCGTTCCCCAGGCCTTTCGCTCATCCTTGGATTCATCCTCATCCTCCTTGCTCTCTTCAGCCGGCTTGCCTCTGGAGTCTGGGCCAGCCCCTTCTCTTCCATATGCTGTAGCATTGCCACGCGTACAATAATTATATTTGTACAATAATTTCAACCCTTGTAAGATGTACAACAGATAATACTAAAGGTGTTCAAAGTGTACTATAACTCGAGGCAGCTCATTGATGCAGCATATACAAAACCCAAGTCACGCTCCGGTAGTCTTAACCGACTTTCAGGTTGGCCGTCAGTGCTTTCTTACGACGGCTTGCCTCGAAATACAGAAATGCTTCAGCCTGGATGACCCAGTTCTCACTCGCGCTGAATTGGAATTTGACAGGGGCAAAAGAGGGAGCGAGTAATATTTCCCATTTACAGGCAGTCCTCTGTCACAACCCAAAGTTGTGGGTTTTTTTGTTTGAGTGTGCGTCGGCATCGCTAAATCATGTTCCCGCCAAATTGCAGCTCTTTTGCACGGTGGAGTGTTCTGCTGCAACAGAGAACCCGCGTGCAGGAGCTTTTCCCGCCAGTTCTGTAGCTTTCTTTGCATAGTGCATTTCTTTTGCATTATAGCAATGCGCGATGCAAGGAGTCCCTGCCATTTGTATTGGGATTCGCGCCACATTATTGGCCAGTCTTAATGTAGGCATACGTGGCGGCTAGCTATTGGCTTGCTAGCCGTACAAAAGGCTTGGGTGGTTTCCGCCCAAATCGGAGAGAGAGAAAGCATGTGGAGTTCGGGAAAGGAGCATGCTCTAAGCGCTGCTGATCCATATGAACCCAGCTTTTTCCTTAAGAGGGCAACAGAGGTCTAATTTGTCAAACCCATGGAGCTTCAACAACTCCGCGGGACTTATTTACCGTCCCCTCGGAGCCTTAACGACTCCGAGGCAACTAACCTCTAGCATCTCCCCGTCGCCGATCGCAGCCCAGACGTATCCCTATCCTAAGGACCCAATTGTCGAGCCCACGGAGTTTAACAGCTCCGGGGGACCTGGGAACCGAGTAACACTCACGG